CGATTTAAAAATAATGAACATGACCAGAAAATAATTTTAAAGTTAAGACTGCTTGTGAAACTTCAGGCAGGAATATGATGCGTTATAAACATTCCATAAGAAGTTACTGCATTTAGCCTAGGGACACAAATATATGGCAAAAGCAACTGGAAAACATATACATGTTAAGTACAAAAAAATCATTAAGTAAAATAGTTGAACTCGCCTGGATTATTTTTGAAAATTAGATTATTCAGTGGACGACATATATAACGCCATTCGTGAGGAGTAATGATCCAAAAGTATCCAGAATAAAACATGCAGTATGGCAATCACTTCCAGGGTGCTTGATGCTGTTGAGGTTTTTGGGACTCGCTCTGATCAGAACAACTGAATGAATCCAGATAATTGTGTGTGCCATTGAATGAGCCATCTAAAATGAACTTATGATTGCAGAAAACTTATAGCTGGAACTCACCGTATTTTTTGGAGAAGTGTCATCCTTGTTGTTTGGCAATGGAACTCGAGAATATGAAATTAGGCAGGCAGTGGTCGGAAGAAAAGATATTACAGGATAGTGCATAGTTTAAAACAGGATGAGGTGTTAAGTGAAGGAACACTGAGAATTAGATCCAGATAACTATTTAGTCCTTGCTGCATTGTTAGTCAATGTATATTTACGCTATTTACAGGTCATATTTGCTAGAGCTTGATGTTTAAACAAGTCTATGTCGCTGAAGCATGTAAATGCTATTAAAGCTTGTTAACGAACCATCAAAGCTAATTAGTTAATATAGACGACCAGTTTTTATTATCGATTGAGCTAGTATGTCATGAGAACTAATCAATATAACATTACGATAATACATGTGAGCATTAATCAGGACTGTTAGAATATTGGGTTAACATAAATACAAAATAGATCAAGAAATTTAGAATGGAAATAAGGATTAACAATAATAGGTTGCGTTTCTCTAGTCGGGCTTACCAATGTAGAACTATGGTCTACTATGATATTAGTACTGCTCTAATAATAGACCTAATCCTAAATTTGTAGATTTGTCATGATATAACTGCCTAATCTATAAGATCTTACGTGGAAGTCACACCATCGACTACACCAACTCACTGTATCGTATCAATTACCAATACATGATGTAGAACAAGGTTAGGCTAGAGAAAGAACAATATATTTAATATGAATAGAAGATATAACGTAACATTCGGCAGAGACCACGCCTGCATGGCCGAGCCATGTCACTCGATCAAACCCAGTCCATTCTATTCATTCTCGCGCCTTCTCCATCGTTAGGTATTTATCCGCGTTAAATATTGAATATCTATTTTTTGAGTAGTCTCGTGTTTAGCTTTGTGGATTGTGCGGTTATTGTTCAATGCCACTACAGACTCACCTAGCTGAAGGCGCTCGGTCACGCATCCGCACCAGATCACGAGTGGGAACGCCGTGCTCAACAACCCCTGCAATCGCAAGCCAGATTAGATCAGACGATCCTCGATATATTAATAGCCTATCAAATATATCTTCGAATCTCCTCGCTTCCGTATTTTGATTTCCCTTGGTGGGTACGATTCATATTAGGTGTTACTGGTTAAAGCGCTGTGGCATCTTCAATCCTATTTGTCAGTAAAATTCAGTGTTAAACATAAAGTAGATATTCATGGTAGATTAAAACAGAACCTCCTTTATTTTTCACTGAGATTGGTATCTCTATTTTCTTTTCCAGAAATTGTTCACGTATGTTATCGACGGCTTCAGTCAGTGGGATGTTAGTGAACAAAAATGCTTTGTCGAGTGATAACATGGTTTCGCATTTGAATCCATATATTTTACTGCATCTACGAATTAAAATACACATTCAACGTTATACTTAACCAATTCTCAGTGTAATGGTTCTAATAATCTCACCAATCATTTTGTTTTTGAATTGTATTGTGCGCTTGACATATCTGGAATTAGGCGTAAAGGAACTTCAGGTTTGTGAAACTTGGGTTCGCCCTTGTAAAAGTCATAATTATGGACTTATAACCGTGGGGCTTGACGATAACGTCGTTGAAAACAATTCTCTGCTTAAAAATTATTTTTGGGATATTTATATCATTTAAATGAACCAACATTCTCATGGACGAGGGGACAAATGTGGCAGTCAAAAGTGGGTGGATAAGCGCTAGCCGGTGACATTTTGGGGCTAGAAAATTGCACATAAATTATTTATTAACTTTCGTGTTTGCGTGGGTATCGCATTGTCCGTTTCTCTATATTGAATGGCGAATTGTTTTGAGTTTAATTCAAGAACTCGAGAACCGCATATTCCACGCATTATGTAATGAAAACCTTAATAAACCACCTTGAAATCTATTAAGTACAAAGCTGAATTCAAGTCCTACAGTGTCAACATATTAAGATATTTTTCCAAATCCTCTTCACCGAAAATCAGAAAATGCCTCCTGCCGCAGTAAAAGAACGAAAGAAATTTATTATTGTAATCGGATTTTCCAATTGCGAAATTGATTTTCCTTTTGACTAATAGCATGTTGTTCTGCTGTATTTTCTACCGTTCCTTTTGTTGTTTGTGCTTTTGTTCATTTGTTTTCCTTTTTGTTTGGTTACAACAAATTACGCGATAATGTTTAGAAGTTTCATATCTCAAATATGTTTTTGATATTTTCGGGTCCTTAATTAACCTTTCATGTTTCTTTACTCAAGATAGTCCTAGAGCGGTTGCCATGTTGAACTGCTATACTCTGTTTGTTACTTAGTGGGCTGATTGGTTCTGTTTTATGTGCTCGATATTAAAACATGTTCCTTGTTGTTCAAGGAATGTTTAACATTAACAACTATAATTCTCATGTAATTATTATTTTATGGTTGTTTGCTCATCCCTAGAGCGAAGTGAGTTTTCTTGTTCCTCTTTTTCCGTGACTGTTAGGATTAATTTTAGTATTGTTTTATCAAATTTTATTAGGAGTACGTACACTTTGAAAATGAATTATTCGTGTGCCGTTAGTTTCGTTTGTATTTGCGATTTGCAAATTCCAAGTGTACCTCTTCTGTGCCTTTCGGAACTTACCTCACGTTGTTATACGGGTGTCGTTGGCTACCGTTGTTTTTCTGTCAACATGAGAAAGAAGTGGCTTAAATGGGAAATAATCAACAGAACACAAGCTCAGGAACATTACCATTCAATGCTTAACACCACTGATATTTCCCGTGACGTTTACAATAAAATTGTTGATTTGTCAAACAAAATAGTCCAATTTGAGCCATATAGAACTTGATAAGCACAAATAAGCGTGTTACATTTGGAATTCGTAATAAACAGGGAAACAAGTACAAAAAAATCAACAGAACAGAATGAGATGGCACGCTCCGATTTTATTTAAATAAGGTCAATGTCTTGAAGTTACTTTATTCTGACTCCATGTTTCTCAACGTTATCAAGTAGTGCTTGATTGTATAAAATATTTTAAGAGCATGTTTCATCAGAAAATGTTGATTATTAAAGGAAAATAGCCCTTATTGACTTGTTCCAATAGGACTGGACAAGTTGTTCTCGACCTCAATCTATCCATCTGCCTGCAAACAGGTACTGCCGCAAAAGAATGCGATTAATGTTAAGGGTGACCTTAACGGACGAAACAAGAGAGTACGAGAATGCGAGTTTTGAGTTTGGCCTGAAAATCATAGTTCTAACTGAAACTTAGCTCTGTCTTGATGTCATAGTTACGAAAGTGAGCATGGAAGTTGTGACTCACTCCAGATGTGACGGAACATGGAGTAAGGTGTGGCTTGGGAAATGTGTCGGCAGCCAATATATGACCACAAAGCCGCATAGTAATATTGCTATGATCGAAACAATGGTTTACAGCTGATTCTGATTAGGCCCGACTGCTACCAAACTTATTACTGGAGGAACATATATTGCCCTTTAACAAGCGAAAACTAACACGAAAAAAAGACACTCTAGTTGTCATAATTATTATTACGGTTAAAGTTATATCAGTTCTGTTAACCTGAACACTGTAACAGCTTTCAGACAGATGAAGCCAAAGTATATATAACCCCTTTATTCACGTATATGCAAGCGTGAATGTCGAATCTATAACTCCGCCTGACTGTATCTTGCCCTTTCATCAAGCCACATTCAAAACCTACAACTTGTTCGCATTTCTGCGATGATTAGAAGGATTTAAATTGCTGTACGAACCATTATTTTCAGAAATAACGCAATTTAAACCAAAGAGGGTTAGACAAGCACGAAGGAATGCGCTGTATTTGGAATTCGAAGTCAGGCAGTCATAAAGTACGAAGGAATCATCAATTCATACCAACACCACAACTTTCTAAAAAAAGGTGTGTGATTCTTCATGAACGAGTAAAGAGGCGTGCCACAAAACTATTAATGAGGTTAGGAGTCAAATTAAATGAAGTCACAACTCAATACCTAGGGTCGTTCTTGTTAAGCCTTAGTCGACAATGAGGCGACCTGATAATGTCGTATAGCATACTAAGCACTCCTGATCACGCTAATTGAAATACCCTACCCGAACCTCAACATTCACCTTCCTGAGGAAACACAAAAAGAATTGTGATTCGAAGGTACGATGTCCAGGTGAGATCACACTTCTTTTTAATAGAGGCCTGACTAGCCAGGGAAGTCCTCGCAGAGGGTGAGATCATAGTCCTCTCGGAGGACGATTTCAAGCGGAAGCTAGATAGTGATCACTCACTGCGATCCTTATCTCCTATCCACATTCTGATTTTATGACCTGCGACACTATAACGAATCAATCTTTTGTTTGGTAATGTGATAACTGCTGGTCTTAGAAACACTGATGGCCTAGAATAAACTCACGCAAGAAATACTACCCTTCAATTAATCATCGAATTCATACGTGACGATAAAAAACCTGAAACTATACCGTGGCTTTAGAACGAGATGACAAAGATGCTGAGTGATTTATACGAGCTCTTCACAAATATATTGGATATTAGAAGATGCAGAAACAAACTAGTTGTTGCTAAAGCGGTGAATTTGAAAAAAGAGCATTTTACTGGCTGTGTCGTCGTAATATTCTCAATTCCCTAAAGTTACAAAGTTGTTTCGAATAGCAGTACGCCAATACTATGGGACAGATAGTAACATCACTCTGATTTAGCTGATGGTAAGTGTTTACTGGTTAACATAATATATATATCTTAGTACGATATCGTATTAATTTTAGTATTTATGTACGTGCTTTGAGCATCGACTGTCTATAGTATACGCTAAAAGTTCCAAGTTTTTATAGGTCCAGTCTACTTATTTCGTTTTTGACTATGTATTATAGTTTTCCAGCGTTCTAAATGTTATAACATTCAGCTTAATTTACCTATAGGTAAATTAAGCTGATAATATATACTATAAGCTTATATAAACTGATAATTCATTTATTTAATATGAAGTGTATTTTTTAATTATTTTGAGCTAATTATGAACTCATTCAGTGGTGACACCGCTTATTAATTAAACTGCGCAGAGCTTTAAATAAACTAGTTTACGAAAGATCTCTGAATCTAAATGAAATTATTCATGTTATTTTGTAGTGAGAATTATAAATTTGTCTAATAGAATCAATCTTTCGGTGCTGCAATGGTTAAGCTTCATTAATACAGCTTTTGTAATAACATTATACGAATTAGATAAATTGCCGCTAACTAACGGCTAAGCTAATGTATGGACTTTTTAAGTGTTGCTTTGGTGGCCTTGAGTAAACTCACCTACTTACCAGGGTTAGAAGTCTGTTGAGTAGTATGAGGGATTGCGATAAGAAATGACAGAAATTTTGGTTCGGAATTATGGTTAGGGCTTTCAACACACTGACATCTGTAATCTCCAAAATGCTGGTCAACCATATTGAAGCAGTTCATATCTAGCTAGGAGGTACTTTGTGTACCAGAGGAGCTTGCACAGAGGCGTGAAGGTTGTAAACGAGAAGAAAAAAAAGGTTGGTTAATGAATCAACAAGTGCATACGATGCACTTAAATTTAATAACAAATACGATCAACAATATTAAGAGCTAACACGCGACTCAGATTAAGACAATCCTAAAACCTTGGTTAGAACCAGATAGTCTAGTCCATTACAAGTATTGGTGAGTGACTTTCACTCCAAAATTCAAGCTTCATATCCTTAAATCTATTGCGTCGTCCGTATTCCTGCTCAAAGAAAACCAGAGTTTTAACATTCAGCTTTCAGCATGTATTGTCTTGCTGTGGCTCTGTTTTGGGAATCTGATTCAAATCGTAAACCAATGATGAAGTCAAGTGAATCGCTTGGGCTAAGTTCAAACTCCCTATCCCATGATATAGCAAATAGGCCACTCTTTTTGATTATGCTCTCATGCTTTGTGTAATTCACTTTTAGGAATTAAATAGTGAGTCAGATCTAACGTTTTTCAATGATTCTGATGATGATTTTCTCAATGACGGTATATTCTCGGAGTTTACATCTAAACACATTACGAAGTCCTCTGGTTTCCACAAGTCATCATCTGAAGAACTTTGCTTTCATAAATCCCCATTGAAAGGCACTCATTCAACGAAAAAAATCATTCGTAATTCAAGTAAAGGAACATCCAGACATCGTAAACTCCCTGGCCCAGCAGGTTTACTTCCAAAGGTATGCCTAAACGAATTGTTACTTTAAATTAAGCTTCATGAACATGGTAATCGTCAGCGTCCTATGATTGGGTCAAAATCACCCAAAAAGGTAACAGCGAAGCATTTCTTCTGAAGACGTTTCAAATCTTTTTAGAAGAAAGATGATAATGTATCTAGCTTGACTGAAAGCTGTCTATCACCATCGTTATCTCAGAATCAATCATCTTCAAGTCAAAGTGAAGAAGCTGCTTTGTTAAACAGACTACAGTCAGAATGTGGTCCAACCATATGGTCGGTTGTCGAAAAATATTCCGTCAGAGAAATTTTGAAAATGGTGAAATTCGTTCACATCTAATTATTTTGTTTTTCAGATCACTTCTAATCAACTACCGAAAGGTAAAATCCCAATAATGTGCGGTTTTCTTGATGAAGTTGAACTAATGCCTACGGACGCAAAAGCATTGTTAAAAGACAATTCAGGTAAATAAAATCTTTATTACACTGATAATAAAATTTTCTAGGAGTTTTGGCTTGTACAATCCACCGTTCAGTGATAAAGGAATATAAAAACGACTTGGGTTGTTGTTCCCTACTTCTGTTGAAACAGGTCAAATTTATTATTTTAAACTACTATTTTGTTTGTATAAGATTTCACGCATCGCATTCGTTTCTTTTCTTAGAATCTAATGTCATTTCACTGATAATAGGGAATTACATTCAAAAATTGGACTGCTAAATGCTAATTAAGACCTGTATAAGGCATAATACACTTCAACTTACTATATTTTATCAGCATTCGCTTGTGTAGAATCTTAAATGCAAACAGGGGCAGTCTGGTTCAGAATTTTAGATATATATGCCAAATTCATGTTTTCAGAATGTGACCACCTCACTTGTCACTACAGTGAGTAGTATTTTCGAGATTTTGCACTCGACAGCTATCATTTACTAAGTTTACGTGTCGTTTATTAGCCAAGAACTAAGTTTGACAGTCAGGTTTTTATTTTATCCGGGATTAAGTGACCTACCTAATTTTTATCCTACAGCTACCCATTCCATAAGTAACTGCTGATTATACTTTTTGTTGTAATATTTTCTGTTTGTATTTTACCAACATAAAATTCTTTACTGATCCGTTGTTTTGACTTCTGATACTCGCTTGCTCCTATTTGTTGTGTTTAATGGCCCGTCAAAAATATCACGTGATGAAGTCAACAAACGGATTACCGACTAGTATGACCTTATCCCTATGCTGAAACAATGGTGCGTTAACCAGCACGAGCAGCCTAGAGTCATCTCCGAGTCCTCTGTATAGTAGATTCTCGCCTATCCCAACCTGTTCAGTCCAGAACACAAATCTCAACCTTTGCTATGTGAATCGTCTATTTCAGACCTACGTAGTTTATATACAATCTGACCAGACCGCATCACATCACAGAATGAAAAATAATAATTAAACAAGATCAAGCCAAACGTTCGCTGTGAATATAGGAGACTGTAGTTAATAGATTGGGAATAAATTAAGAATGGCAAATCGTATGACAGTGACCATTAACTCAAATCAAAGCTTATGATAAAAGGAGTATGAATATATATGTAATCTAGTTACTTAATAATTCCCCAATAAAAATATATGTAATAAAAGTCCATAAATTATTTCTAGTAGTTACTATTCATTTATTCTGGACTCGAATATAACACTTATTTCGCCGTATCACTGTAATGTACACTTGGATGGCTTAAACAAACCTATAAATTCATCGTCTAGATTGTTTGTATCAGATGGTTCGTATAAAAAAGTCCTTAGTTCTTTTTAGACGTATTCAGTTTCTACTCATCTGTTGTGGGAGTTTCTTTAGTCAGTGAATGAATATAGATTGGAATATCAGACCAATTTTTTTTCAAACCGACTTCCACATAAGCCTTTTCTCTCCAACAATATAAACCAATGGATTAGACTAGCATAAAGTCGTTAACTCTGATTTTTATACTCCAACTAATGGTTCTAAACTATTTTAAAGGCCTTAAAACGTATGCCATGAAGACTTTACTTTTTCTTCAATTCTCTACCTAGAAAATATCTTCTTTACAGTTGTGATGTCATCTGCAACGTTATGGTAGCTAGGTTTTCCTTCCTTGGACTTATAAGTCTTTTTTTAACTATTATATAGTAGTTTTAGACGTGGTAAATATTACAATAGAAATTAAGCAAAATGTATTCGGCATATTAGTTTATTTATTACCACAATTTTTATGCCTTATGAAATTCTAGGTTACTATTTTCAGTCCAACTGGCAAAAAGTTTTATGCCAATATAACTCTTCCAAATATTGTAAAAATATATACCCCCGAAAATACTATTATTACTTCAGCATCTGGTCATCATACAACAGCACCTCTTTCTTCTCCATTATCTCTTCGAGAAGTGGAAGCTTTAGAAGAAGATTGTTTAAGAGCTCTTTCACCACCTTCAACTCCAATACCACAAACAATCTCGATATCTCCTATCCTAAAACCTATGTGAGTTTTGTATGACGTCGGTCATTTAAAATCTTTTATGAATTTTGATTTCTATACATGTGTTACCAATGGATGAAATATTTAAACATCTGATTGCGAATTGATACTGAGCATGATTTCATCTGCCTCGAAATGTTCTGAAGTTTTGAGTTTATAAATATAGGGATTCCATTCATTATATCCTGTTATTCTGACCAAACATAATTTTATCTTGATTTGTCTCAACTTAGCTCATTTTTTTCCTTATGTAATATTTATCCTTCATTCTAATACTGAAAAGACTTATAAAAGAGATTATTTCATGTCCGCTTTTATTGAGTTAAGCCAAAAGTTACTATTTATTTACATGGAATTTGCCATTGCTGTACAGTGTGTAACGATATGGCCATCAAATTGACCAGATTCAACAAAATTATTGGAAGCAAAGATAGATATTGTCTAGTAGTGGAGTCTAGGACGGGCGTTTCGTCCTATTTGGGATTCGTCATCTGGATATACGTGTATCCAAGATTTGATGTTCACTCGGGAACTCGAGCGTAGTACCGTCCGCTCCGAACGTCATCGCGTTATCGACTTAGCTACTGAGTCCTGATAGCTGAGAGACTGATCAATTGTAGTCCTAAACATCAATGAGAAGATTCAAGTGAACAATACATAATGAATTTAAATTGATTCGAAGATAATGTACTAAAGATCGCTGATTAATTCGATGACCAATGCTAATTAATGTTAATTACTTATTCACACTAATTTGTGATGGCTAACACTGAAGTATACTATCTCTTTTAATGTAATTCTTGAGAAAATTATAATGATAAAGCAAAATCATATTTGTATAATTCTTAGTTAAATAACAGAAAATCATCGAAAAAAGTGTGGAGAAGTAGTTTAAGAGTTTGGGCACTCGATGTTTGGTCACTAAGTACTGGGTCCGAATCCCTTTCCACCTACTTCGTTTTGGGGAACCGAGCAGTTTTATTAGCACTCATGTGGCCCGTGAATTACAACTAAGTACCTAGTAAATTAATTATTTTTTATTCCCATTATATAAGGGCATATTAACAATACATAATAGGAAAACTGAAATGAAACTTTTCGTTTATCACGTTTGGCTCAGAATATTTCGGTTTATATCGGTACTTATTTTCTTTTGATCATCGATATTATACAAAATCGTCTGCTTCTTTAGCATCCATGAAATAGAAATAATTTATCACAGGATGGTTTGTATTATTTTATCAGGTTCTATATGGTACAGTTACTAGTTGGAGGAAAAAGCACTTTAAACTAATCACCAATGGTAACTAAGAATATTCAAATGAATACTGTATTTTTATGCCCAAAAAATCTTTAATTTAGAAACTCTTCTAGAAGTAAAGAGGGAATAGTTAAAATACTGTCTATTGCATAACGATTATCACATATATTGAGAATTCTCACTATTTATCGATAATCAACTATCTAGATATTAGGTGATTGTAGTTAGTACACAGGGAAGTCTATTGTATCAAATTCTTCACCAAAATATATTTGAAATCTTTGAAAAACAGGTGCTTTTATCAGGTTTAAACCTGTATTATACAGCATTACAGTTTGAAATGTTACCATTGAGTTATTCATAGGTAACATATCAGATTAAGTTATTTAGACAATTGGTCATATACTGTAATTGATCAATAGAATTCATTAGTTGTTGAAAACAAGCATTGCTCGTATATCCTGGTAGCACGGAGTAAGTAATGCAGTTGTTAGGAATCAGGTACTAGGTAAGGATGGCAAATTAATTGATGAAGTAGTGGGAGTTCATCAGTTGTGATTGTTTGGACATGTGTTAACGTATGCCCAACGACCGACTGCCTCGACGATTGATGTTTTGTGGTGTAGGAGTATGTTGTAGGAAAGCTAGGGGCGGCTAGACCAAAACATGGCACAAATCCATGAAGTGATTGACAAATGGACTGAGTCATGTTGGTAGGAGTAGACTATCTGGTTGGGATCCGTGAGACGATAGCAAGCGATGGTTAGAGACCTTGAATGACACATGGCTCAAAATCGTTTGCAATGGCGTAGGTGTATCCACTCTTTGTGTTCTCCCAAATTCTATTCTTCTGATTTCTTCATGTGCCCTCTTTTTCTCTTTTGAAATTTATTTCATTGGATTATACTCCTTGAATCACATCCTCAAAGCCTAATGTTTCCGGTTACTGCTTATAATTTTACTACCTCTAACACTGTGATTTGAATCGACAATTGTATTTGTGTTTTAATGTGATGTGGTAACCTGAACTGATGTACTTACATACGAATTTCTACGTTGTTGCTGACTGACTGACGGTTATTTAGTGAAAATCAGCTTCAACTTAGTATCTAATATCAAGATTCAAACCATTATGATAACCTGTAATTAAAGGCATTCCTATGTAGGCTGTTGGTTCTTTCAATGTCTTGAATTCCTTGTGTATTCTCTATTTGGAATCACTTCGTATTTCTCATGCATTTTTTTCTCCGTTGCTAATAGCTCTTATCGAATACAACCACAAATCAATCAATCTTCATCTGGTTTAAAATCAGAATTATCAACTACAAAAAGTTATACGTTTCAATTACGTCCAAATGGTTTAGGTACTTTATTAAAGTCTAATTCAATATCAGTCAGTAATCAAGTCAAACCATCAATCTGTGATAATAATAATAATTTACAGAAAAAAGATTATCAACAAAATATAAACTCAACGACTAATGTTACTGCTACGACTATGACTACTACTACCCTACCTGATTCATTAACAGTGAAAGATGATCTTCTAGAAGATGGTAATTTCCTCTTTGCTTTATTGTTGTCATCATTATTATGTTTAAAACTTTTTAAAATTTCAATTTTGTAAACTTTATAACTACTTAGTGTATATTGATATGAATTTTCTAGCCAATTGAAAGTTAACAGAATATTTACAAATTACTTTATAGTGTAGTTCACTTTTCCGTACTACTCTTTGATATCAGTTCATAGAATCATTATGTATTGATATGAGCCATGTTGATACGTACAGACTGATTGGTTATAGTCCAATCAGTGGTTGAGGATGCTAAGTAACAGCTTAGAAACAGTCATAATGTTGTAGCTTCGTTTTTTTGTCTGCTTGTGAATTTTCCCAAGTAAGGACCGGAGACAGACAAGGCTGTCTACTCTCTCCCTTCCTCTTTCTTCTGGTGATCGACTGGATTATGAAGACCTCGACATATGAGGGAAAAAAACGGCATACAATGGACAGTTCATAGCCAATTAGACAATTTGAACTTTGCAGATGACCTAGCCCTCCTATCGCACACACACGAACAAATGCAGACAAAGACAGCAGTGTAGCAGCAATTACTGTATCAGTAGGCCTCAACATACACAAGGGGAAAACCAAAGTCCTCAAATACAACACGGAGAAAAGCAATCCAATCACACTTGATGGCGAAACTCTGGAAGAGTAGAATCCTTCACATACCTGGGAAGCATCATCGATGAAAAAGGAAGATCAGATGCAGACGTAAAGGCGAGGATTGGCAAATCAATGGCCGCATTCCTACAATTGAAGAACATATAGAACTCAAAACAGCTTTCAACCAATCTCAAAGTGAGAATCTTCAATACAAACGTCAACACAGTTCTACTGTACGGAGTTGAAACTTGGAGAACTACAACAACCACAATCAAGAAGGTACAAGTATTTATAAATAGCTGTCTACACAAGATACTCAACATCCATTGGCCGGATATCATCGGCAACAGCGTTCTGTGGGAGAGAACAAACCAGCTTCCATCTGAGGAGGGAATTGGGAAAGACGATGGAAATGGATAGGACATACATTACGGAAATCATCAAACTGCATCACAAGGCTAGCCTTAACTTGGAATCGTGAAGGGAAGCGAAAAAGAGGAAGGCCGAAAGACACATTACATCGGGAAATAGAATCAGATAAGAAAAGGATGGATAACAACTGGAAAGGATTGCCCAGAACAGGATTAGATGGAGAATGTTGGTGAACAGCCTATGCTCCTTTACGAGGAGTAATAGGCGTAAGTAAGTGAGAATTTTCATTATGTCTTTTTGAATCATATTCTCAATACTTATTCCTTCGCATTATTTTCACTCTTTTACTATTTATCTTATTAGTATCATTTCATTGCGACAATGTTTTATGATAAATATGATCAACTCTTGTTTGTGACAGGCTATATGTTGATTATGATTGAATATCTTTTCTAATTTCATTGGTTGAGATCATGTGTCAATTAAAACTAGACAACTATAGAAGACCTGGAAGCACTGAATGGCCGTTTCGTCCTATTGTGGGACTGCCCAGTAGTGTACATCCACGATCCCGCTTCATGGGACTCGAACGAAGGACCTATTGGTCTCATGCGCGAACGCTTTATCGCTAGACCACTCTAACTACTAAACCTCTTTTCTAAGCTTACATTGCATAATATCGTAAAGATTTTACATATTTAAACGTTTTTTTGGATGTAGCTGTATCCACAATTGTTGCGCATTGAAATGTTCTAATTCGCAATACAAATTGATATTCGTTGTACAATAAGTTTAACAAAATGTTTTGTAAATTGCCTTGAATATGGCACAATATTTTGTCCCTATTGAAAGAAAGTAGATTAACAAAATAAATAAGGTTTATTTTTGTAGAATGAATAGATTTTTATTCAGATCCGTCTGAAGCCTCTCTGGGGTTACTGCCAGTTTCAAGGCTGTTTAAAAGAGAACGGTTGGGCATGGTGTTAACGACTCCATCCCATAGAAAACTAACCCTCTAAAAAACGGTAACCAGGAAAAATAATTCAATTTCAAATGTATTATTTGTTATTTCATTTATTTATAAAGATAGTTTTCATCACAAATTGGGATCAAATAGGGAGAAACATTTGAAAACCACAGCGTATTGAACAGTTATATTTTATTTATTTATTTGAACACATAAACATTGATACAAGGAGGCACCAAATACATATGCGCCACATAGTAACAGTGACGCCAGTAGCAGTACCATTGAGATGTGAGGAGCTGTGTTACTGCCCGAGTGCCCAGACGGTAGCAGATGATTTTCTTAAAGGGCCTCACCCGGTGCCTTCGACCTAAAGTTCTGATCCACAACGCAATGGAAGACATTTAGAAGATGCAGTCTCATAGTAGAGGATGACCAATAATTGGTTCATATGCCTTCTGTTCCTTCAAGATACTTGAGCCCATGTGCACCATTGATTTAGAACCAGGGTTTTTTAATTCCTCTAGGTGAATCCTCCATATCCCCGAATGCCCTGGTACGACCAAGAGTGGGGAGAGTCCGCTCTCCCTCTCGAAATGCGCTCACATGGCCACGCGTATATAGCCTCTGCCAGGGAAGTCCTACTCACTGCTTCCTCGACAAGGGTATGTTGTTTACGAAGTTGAGAAGACGAAAAGTGAATGTCCGGCGCTTTAACTGGGTTGGTGGACATGACGAGTCCACTTAGGGGAGTTGGAAAACCCTGATTTTAAACCAATGGTGCACATGGGTTCCAGTATCTTGAAGGAACAGAAGGCATATGAACCAATCGTTGATCACCGGCTACCATGGGCCTGCATCTCCTTACGATGCTCCACTACCTTGTGGATCGGACCTTCAGATCTAAGGCTCTGGGTGTGACCCCCTAAGAAAACCACCTGCTTCGGTCTGGGCACTCGGTCAATATCACAGTCCTCACATATATCAAAGTAGATTTGTGTGGCGCATATGTACTTGGTGCCTCCTTGTACCCATATCTATGTGTTAAAATAATTATAATCCATCAATCCGATTAAAGCGCTAGACATTCGCTTTTTACCCTCTCATTTTGTAAACCACAGTAATGTCATGAGAAGGCAGTAACTATATAGAATTGGGTAGACTGTTAAAGCATCGTCTAAACTATTCAACACATTCTTTCATTTTCATTAATACCTTCTAGTTGTTCATGTTAATTCATGATCAAACTTGTATAGATCATCTATTCTTTTTTTTTACTTTCTTAATTATGTTTTAATTTTAGACATGGATGATTTATTATCTAGTATAGCTGATGAAATTCCTTAGTCGTTGAATATATATATATATATATATATATATATATATATATATATATATATATATATATATATATATATAACATATAAAGAAACAAATCAAATGGTGATATAATCTATGAAGCAGATATAAATGATCGACTCTTTAGTGTAATATACATCACGATTGGTTCTTCTTCTTCTTCTTCTCCTTGTTGTTGTTCTTCTTGTTTATTGGTTATTACTTGACTTATTTGATGAGATTATAATTTATGAACAACTTTAAATGGATCTTAAAAGTGTATCCTTTCATACTATGACTAATAAATAAGGATTATAATGAATTAAAATTCATATTTTATAATTGATAGTTCAAGATTAACAATTTACCTATAGAGTTTTCATCATGAATTGATTTCAATTATCATGTTCAAAAAGGGATGAATGAGTTTCGCGCCAAGATCTACTAATGTCAATTTGATTGGTTCATCTATAAATTATAATCTCACCAACTATTTACTATATTACGTAATTAGTCATCAGTAAATTCACTTTGTTGTTGGTGTTATTGCTGTTGTTGTTGTTGTTGTTGTATATACATTCCAATGGATTGTTGATTATTGTACATAAAATGAAATTATTCATCCTTCTCTCTTCATGTATATTTGCATATTATTGATAGTTTAAAATGAAGAATTTATTAATGAATAAATAGAAATTTATATTTTGTAAACTTTTGATGAAATTATATTTTGAGATGGTGGAGAAGATTTGTAGCTCAAGTGGATGATTTTGATGGAGTTTTGCTCTCTGAGCTGGATAGTTTGGTCATGGAGCTTTCATCGTTCTTCTGAACGTCATCATCAGCACAAACTTCTGATACAAGTATTTTGTTTGGTTTGACCGCCCCGTAACTTTCTTCTTCCAACAATCAACATTTGAACGAATGATAGGGAGTGAAGTAGTGGAACGTGTCTATTGCTTCACTAATCTTGAGAATCTCATCAGCCCTTATGGTCTAGTGTGTGACGAAATCGCAACAAGGATACAGAAGGCTCGACTAGCTTTTAACAACTTGCGTCATTTATGGCGTAGGCGAGATATCCGTCTATCAACAAAGGACGGGTTTACTGCGCAGCAGTTCGTTCCGTCCTACTTTATGGCAGTGAAACATGACCGGTAAGAGTAGAGGATATTCGTAGGTTACTAGTATTTGATCACAGGTGTCTTCTGAGCATTGCTCGTATATCCTGGTAGCACGGAGTAAGTAATGCAGTTGTTAGGAATCGGGTACTAGGTAAGGATGGCAAATTAATTGATGAAGTAATGGAACTTCATCAGTTGTGACGGCTTGGACATGTGTTACGTATGCCTAACGACCGACTGCCTCGACGATTGGTGTTTTGTGGTGTAGGAGTATGTTGTAGGAAAGCTAGGGGCGGCTAGACCAAAACATGGCACAAATCCATGAAGTGATTGACAAGTGGACTGAGTCATGTTGGTAGGAGTAGACTATCTGGTTGGGATCCGTGAGACGATAGCAAGCGATGGTTAGAGACCTTGAATGACACATGGCTCAAAATCGTTTGCAATGGCGCAGGTGCATCGATTCTCAATTCTTCATCTTCCTTATGGTATGGTATGACAACTCGAACTGATGTACGTACGTACAAAGTTCTACGTTGTTTATTTATTTGAACACAAATATTGATACAAGGGGGCACCAAATATATATGCGCCACACAGAACAATGAGAACGGGAAGAGAAAAAAAGGAAGGTAGTGAGCGTAAAAGAAAAACAATAACGACCACAGATTAGTGTAATAATAACAATAGTAATAATGGGGGAAACGTACAACCAGAAGGATTCTTTCAGTTAAGGAAGAAGCAACCAATTTTTATAAAGATAGTAAGAGAAGGTTAGAGCAGGATCGCCACTGGCTTCTATTCTGAGCCATATATGATAACGTCTGTAGCCACTGTGTTGCACCATCTCTCGGACCCCAGCCAGGGAGTCGTGAAGGACCAACAGAAGCCAGCCCTTATTATTATTGTTTTTTATCCCCATTTCATGTATCCTTATTTTTCGACTTATTATACAGCAGCTCGCCTATGGTGGAAACTCAGTTGCTATTGACTGACCATCGTTAACATTAGTCAGCATTGCCAGTCAGCTACAACGTAGAACTAGGCATATATAAGCATCGGTCCAAGTTGTCGCAAGATAATCACCAAATTCATATAAATGGTTACTTGAATGTTAGTAATGTATAAAAGAAAGATTATGTGTAAGGATGTACTACAGGAAAGAAGAATTAGTTTGCAGTCTTTTTTGTATTACATTTTGGTGCAATATAGAATTCTTAGCACGAGGTACTTCAACGAGTTTCTTCTAAAAAAAAGAAATGGGTGATAGAAAAGATCTGAATCTGTACAGCTTTTCAATTAGAGACATATGTCAGTATACAGGTTACTGAATAGGTCAACTCTAACAACCTGTTCGTCACAAAGTATATTTGCTAGATAAGGTATTATATAGCTTTTATACCTTTGCTTGAGTGTATGAATTTTAATTTATTACATCTCGTTGTACCAGAAGATATACAAGGAGAAAGATATATATAAAGGGGATGGTTAGTATCTGATAAGATAACACTTAACAGGAGTTTGCAAGACTTTAAATGTCTATCCACAATCATATTAATAATGACCCCAAAAGATTCACTACACACCTTGCTAAGTGCCTTCAGCACTCTACGCATTTCATCAAAGTCTTATCTCAAAAGCCCGTGAAAGAATAATACTTAAATAGCAAGAATTGACGAACTGTAAGAGTCAATGTCGAGTATTCTCAAAAGCATGCGGTCTCTTTGTGTAGTAAGTCCTCTTTGATAACAGTAAAACATGCAAAGACCAAGAGAGATCAGAGGAAAAGATGACGCCAAGAAAATTGACCTACAACACTGTTTAACTAAGAGTCTCCAATGGCACAAGTATTATGGAATCCCAACAGGGTATTTAGGCGCTTTTCATGTTTCAGGCTAAAGATAACACCTTGACATTTAGATGGATTAAGTATGAAACCATTAACAACAGACCACCATTGAATACGAGACGACAACTCAATCATTTCTATGGAATGTAGTAAGGTAGAAATCGGTATACATAGAGTAAGATTGTCTACATATTTCACAAAGTTATTTTCTGTGGAGGTTGGTAGAAAAGAACAGGTACATTTTATTATAGGGTCTTGTGAAGATTGCTGAATTTTATGTTTCACTACACGGACTAACTAATGAAAACCACAAAAGCTAAATGACTGAAATTCTGATTGATCAATCGGTTGAATGATAAATGAACGGAAGGTATTGAGATGGTGGTGAAGATTTGTAGCTCAAGTGGATGATTTTGATGGAGTTTTGTTCTTTGAGCTGGATGGTTTGATCGTGGAGCTTTCATCGTTCTCCTGAACGACATCAACCGCACTCAGCATCAGAACCTAAGTCAAGCACAGAAATCAACAAAAGGATCGCCCTACCATAAATAAAAGGCATATCAGAAACCGCAACGAGACTGCTGAAAACCTTCGGGATAGGTGTGGCACACAAACCCAAAAAATCACTACAATCAATCCTATGCAAACTAAAGGATGAAATAACAAAGGAAGACAAATCAAACACCATCTACAAAATGAATTGTGCCAACTGCGAAAAACACTACATCGGACAAAACGGACGCCCCCTTCACGTTCGCCTACATGAACATCAATTAGCAGTCAAACGCCATGATACTTCCTCACTTATATCAATACACGTGGACAACTGCGGACACTCATTCGACTGGAAAAATGTGGAAATCTTGGAGAGAGGAAATTTCAAAAACACTAGGGAATTTTTGTAAACCTGGCACAGGTCAATCAACAAGCACATTGAGATCGATCCAATTTATCAATTAATCAGGAAAATTATGGATAAACATAGGACCGAAATTCAAACCAATGGGAGACAACCAAAACAAAGGAGTAAACAATGACAAATTTAGGTTCAATAAGAATCAATCAACGTCGAGGTGTACAGAACAATCTGTGAAACGCATATGGAGAAATTTGAACACTTCACTTCTATCTGAAGTTTGTGTTGATGATGTTCAGAAGAACGATGAATGCTCCACGACCAAACCATCCAGCTCAGAGAACAAAACTCCATCAAGAACGGAAGGTATTCCTAATAAAGGTCTGGAACCTGACTTCTCCACCTCATATTGACATGTATTAATCATACTTTAATTTCTCCGGTAACATATATTACTGGTAAACATCTTTACACTTTCTGCTATCACCTCTATTTCATATCTTCCAATGTGAAAATTGTATACTTGTTGTTATATCTACTTGTTGTTTCATCAGTAGTTGTAATACTTTCTAATAATTATTGGATATCGTTTCAAATACTGATCAGCTGAATGTACTTTTGATTATCCATTATGCTAATCACCTGCTTGGTTAATTGAAAGTATCTAAAAGTTACTAGCTATTAGGAATTTGTATTCTGAATTGTTTGACTTACTTACTTACTTACTTACGCCTGTTACTCCCAATGGAGCATAGGCCGCTGACCAGCATTCTCCAACCCACTCTGTCCTGGGCCTTCTTTTCTAGTTCCATCCAATTCTTGTTCATTTTTCTCATGTCTATTTCCATTTCTCGGCGTAATGTGTTCTTTGGTCTTCCTCTTTTCCTTTGACCTTCAGGATTCCATGTGAGGGCTTGTCTTGTGACGCAGTTGGGTGCTTTCCTCAATGTGTGTCCTATCCACTTCCAGCGCTTCTTCCTGATTTCTTCCTCCGCTGGGATCTGGTTTGTTCTCTCCCACAGTACGTTGTTGCTAATAGTGTCCGGCCAACGGATCTGAAGTATTTTGCGTAGACAACTGTTAATAAACACCTGTATTTTCTGGATGATGGCTTTCGTAGTTCTCCAGGTTTCTGCCCCATACAGTAGAACTGTCTTGACATTTGTATTGAAAATCCTGACCTTGGTGTTGGTTGACAGTTGCTTTGAGTTCCAGATGTTCCTCAGTTGTAAATATGCTGCTCTTGCTTTGCCGATCCGCGCCTTCACATCTGCATCAGATCCACCCTGTTCATCAATGATGCTGCCCAAATATGTAAAGGTTTTTACATCTTCCAAATCTTCTCCGTCAATTGTGATTGGATTGGTGCATTCTGTGTTGTATCGGAGAATCCTGCTTTTCCCTTTGTGTATATTGAGACCTACTGCTGCTGAGGCTGCTGCCACACTGTTCGTCTTCTCCTGCATCTGTTGTTGCGTTTGGGATAGAAGGGCCAGATCGTCTGCGAAGTCTAGATCATCCAACTGCATCTTAGATGTCCATTGTATCCCGCGCTTCCCTTCAGACGTTGACGTCTTCATGATCCAGTCGATCACCAGGAGAAAGAGAAAGGGTGAGAGTAAGCAACCTTGCCTAACACCGGTCTTCACTTCGAACGACTTTGTCAACTGTCCTCCATGCACGATTTTGCAGTGTAATCCATCATATGAGTTCTGTATGATATTGACTATCTTCTGAGGCACGCCGTAGTGTCGAAGAAGTTTCCATAGTGTTGTTCTGTCCACGCTATCAAATGCCTTTTCGTAGTCAATGAAGTTGATGTAGAGTGATGAATTCCATTCAATTGATTGTTCCACAATGATCCGTAGAGTTGCGAT